GCTTTCAGTGTTCACCCTAACCCATTTTAACAATAAATAACTGCTTGTTTATTGGGGCTTAGGAACCAGGAATAGTTGTAGGAAAAATCCCCATCATGATTCTGGAGAGGAAAAATATTCTCAAATAGAAAAATTGGATGAAAAAAATGCACATTTAAATAAAGGCCTTACTGTGTTTTTAATATTTGCAGTATTTGTTAAAAGCCAAAATGCATTGTTAAAATATGCCTTTATTTGAATTTAATGATTTGTTTTTTATTACAATTTTAGTACATGCTTTTTGAAATAACAAAATTTAGGGATGCCTGGGTGGCTAAGTCAGTTAAGCCTTTGACTCTTGATTTCGGCTCATGTCATGATCTCAGGGTTGTGAGATCTAGCCCCAGTTTGGCTCAGTGCTGGGCATGGAGCCTGCTTAAGATTCTCTCACTCCCCCCTGCCCCGGCTAGCACACGCATGTTGACTCTCTTAAAAAAAAAAATTCATGAAGAATGAAGAATTAAAAAATGAGTCTGCTTTGATCCTATTCCCTAATCCCTGCCTCTTCTCAGAAAGAATGTCTCTTTTTTGTGTATCTCTTTCCAGACCTTTTTCTACATATCTACTTCTCATTGTGTGTTACTACATAAAGATTTACTTATTTGTTTTTAATACTCTTTTGGTTGGATGTGCTATAATTTATTTAACTGTTTCCCTATTGATGAATATTTAGATTAGTCTTTCCAATATTTTGTTAAGAGTTTTTTCATTCAACAAATGTTTGTTGACTGTCAGGCAGTGCTAGTAAACAAAACACAAAAATTTCTGCTTTAATGTGGCTACATTCTTTTGGAGGTGGCCAGATAGTAAATGAATAAAATAAATATGTCATGTTACTGAGCACTGTGAGGTAGAGAAGGAGATAGGAGTGCTGGAAGTCGGTGGGGGTGGTGGGTGCATTTTAACAAAGGGTGATCAGGAAAGGATTGCCTACAGGTGACGTTTGAGTAGAGATCTGGTGAAGATGAAGTAATGAACTCTGAAGCTCTTGGTGCAGGAGAAGCATTCTAGGAAGGGAAGAACAAAGGTCCTGAGGTAGGGGCATGCCCAATGTGAAGGGGAAGAGCAATGAGGCCATTATGGCTGGAGAGTCAAGGACCATTCTGTAATTTTAGGTCTGAACAGTTGGAAAGGTAGAGTTGGAAAGACTATAGCAGGCAAGATTTTGGTTTGGGCACATTACATTTGAGAATCTATTAACATCCAACCAGAGAGGTATTGAGTAAGCAGTTGGAAATGTGATTTGGAGTTCATGGGGAGGTCAGAGTTGGAGATGAAGACCTGGGAGTCATCAGTATATTAATGTAATTTAAAGTCCTGAGTTCACTTAGGGAGTAAATTGGAGGGGAAAAAAGAATCAAGGACAGCCTGTGGGCATATCAAGGGTAAGAGGCTGAGGATATGAAAAGGATGCAGCAAAGGAGACCAAGAAAGCAGCCATGAGGTAGGAGGGAAACCAAGAAAATGTGATGCCCTGGGAACTAAAGGAAGGGAGTGAACAATGTCAAGTGATGAGAACTGAGAATTGACCATAGAATTTAACAGTGTGACTGTGTGGGTGACCTTGACAAGAGCAATTTTGAGTGAGAAGGAGGGGACCTGGTTGTAGCAGATTCAAGAAAGAATGGAAGGAGAGGAATTGGGACTGTTCGTATAAGCACGTCTTTCAAGGGTTGGAAAATGGTTTTTTTTCCTGGAGGGGATATGAAGTCAAGATGTTTCTTTTGTTGTCAAAGATGGAGAAATAAAATGTGGTAAACTTATGGTTAATGATAGAGCAGAAGGAAAACCTGATGCAAGAGAAAGTGGGAGAGATTGAGAGAAGAGTTCAAGGTGTCCATTTTAATAAATTTGTATGTATGTATGTATACAAGGATTTCTGTAAGCTAGATTCTTAAGACTTCCTGAGTCAAAGGGTGTGTACATTTAAAAAATCTATGCCAATTTATATTCCACCTTCATTGTATACCCTTGCCAACATTGAACTTTGCTAATCTTTAAAATTATTGCCATTCTGATGGGAGATATCTATATTATTTTAATTTGTAGGAATTCTTTATATAATCTAATTCTTTAATATATTTTGGTAAATATTTTTCCCAGGCTGTTTCTTGCCTTTTAACTTTGCTTATGGCATACTTTTACCATGTAGATTTTTTTTTTTCTTTCAGTTTTTATGTAGTTAAGTCTGTCACTCATTGCCTTTTATAGCATTTGGGTTTCATATGGATTATATAAATATTTTAATCTTTTAATATGCTTATACATTTACCTTTTTAATTCATCTGGAGTTTATTTTTGTGTATGTTATGACATAGGTATCTCAGTTTTTCATCTTTTTCTGTGTTCATAAACAGTTAAATACTATAAGAATTAATTGTTTCTTAAAGATTTGAAAGAAATTACCTGTATCTTCTAGACTTGGAGCCTTTTTGGAGGGTAGACCTTTGACCTTAAAATTTTTTTCTGTGGTTAATCTATTTGTTTTACATACTTCTTCTAGGTTAATTTTGGTAATTTCCCCCCCCCGAGCACCTCGTTCTTTTCATCCAGATTTTCAAATTTATTGGCTTAAAATTCTACGTAAGGAGAAGAAACACTAAGTCTTCCCCATATTTGCAGTATATCCCTTGTACTTACACCTTTATCTGGGCAGCAGCTGCTGGAGCCTTCCAAGATCTAGAGATTTTGGTTTAGCTGTTTTCAGCCCTCATGCCCCAGTTCTTAGTGCCCTTCATCTTGGAGTTAGTCATACATTCACCTTCTCTTTTGTTTGTGGGGGATTGCAGGCTCCTTGGCTCTCTTTCCTATCACGCTGATCCCATTTGCTCTTTAGTTTACAAAAATTTGTGCTGTTGAGGTCTGCTGATGGATACATGCCCTTTTTGGTTTCCAACATTACCATGGACTTATTTTTGGATTTCTTTTGTCATTTGGAGAGATTTTGGGAGGGATGAGAGGCAAATACATATTTTTAGTTAGCCTTTTGAAATAGGAAGTCACAATTCCTTCCTGTGTGGTTTTCTTTTATCAGGTCCTTTGTTCAATTGCTGGTTGCACAGTAGTTAGATAGTAACTTTACAGCCCAAGTAGTGATAGCCAGATAGACTTCACTTTTCTTTTTTTTTTTAATGAAACCAGATGACTCAGCAGAATGTACTTGTTGAATAGAAATGTTGACACATTGTCAATAAATATTCCAATAGTACTTTTTAAAGTTAAGTGACATAGTCGTAACATTTAGAATTATAAGGGACTTTACAGATCATTAGACCAACTGCCTTATTTTATGCATGAAATATTTGAGGCCCAGAGACTTTCAGTGATTTATCTAAGGTGACAAAGTCGGTGATCAAGCAAGACAGAAAGCCCAAATTTCTTTACTTCAGTTCTACTATGCTTTGCTATTTTACACATTCTTGGTTGTTCTACTTAGCTTTGTAATGAAAGAGGTATTTTCAGCTAATACATATTTTTTAAACCTACAGATGGTACGTATGGCTTGGGATTGCTTCTGAAAATTTGGTCGTAGATATCATATTAAATATGTTGGTGTGGATTTTGTTTTTTCTCACACAGATAATATGTATTATGATATAAATGTGAATTTTATTTTATTTTATTTATTTTTAAAAGATTTTATTTATTTATTTTACAGAGAGAGAGAGACAGTGAGAGAGGGAACACAGCAGGGGGAGTGGGAGAGGGAGAAGCAGGCCTCCCGCCGAGCAGGGAGCCCAATGCGGGGCTGGATCCCAGGACCCTGGGATCATGACCTGAGCCGAAGGCAGACGCTTAACGGCTGAGCCACCCAGGCGCCCCATAAATGTGAATTTTAAAAGAATGGGCTGTCAAGATATACTCTAGCCTAAATGAAAATCATATCGTTTATTTCTCCCAAGTTTCCTCTTTTCTGCTGGTAGACTTTATGTGATTTATGGACTCTCTGAATTTGTTATTACTATTTTAAAGAGGCTTAAAGAATATATATAAATGTAAATATAGGCTTAAAAATGATTTTAGTGATAGTCATAAGCTATTTCAGACCTAGGTTTTCTAATTTTTTAGTTTAATATACCATGCTGCTAGATCAACACCTAAATTAGTTAATTATAGATTTTATTTATTTATTTGACAGAGAGAGATATCTAGAGTAGGAACACAAGCAGGGGGAGTGGGAGAGGGAGAAGCAGGCTTCCCAAGGAGCAGGACCCTGGGATCATGACCTGAGCCGAAGGCAGATGCTTAACGACTGAGCCACCCAAGCGCCCCTCAACACCTAAGTTTAGAAGGGCTAAAATTTTTCAAAGTTTTTCAAAGAAAGAGCTTATTTTTTCAACAAGCATAGGATATACTCATTGTACTTTCATAGCTTTGGTTGGTCTTTAATTTCAACAGGTTTTTTTTTTTTTTTTTTTTTTAAGTTTTTAAAATGTGGGATTTTGATTATTGATAATCCATGTTTGGTCTTTGTTCTTGAAAGGCATTGAGGCTCTGATACGTGTAGCATTAGTGGACTTGGGTGGGTTCTCTTCTCCCCCTGCCACCTCGAACAATTTGAGGATGGAAAGTGAATGTAGTTGCTCTAGAATTATATTTTAAGATTTGTATAGTTATCTTTAGGTTTTAACTCTTTTAGTACTTTTTATTATTTATTTATTTATTTATTTATTTTTTAAAGATTTTATTTATTTATTTGAGAGAGAGAGAATGAGAGACAGAGAGCACGAGTGGGAAGAGATCAGAGGGAGAAGCAGACCCCCTGCCGAGCAGGGAGCCTGATGTGGGACTCGATCCCGGGACTCCAGGATCATGACCTGAGCCGAAGGCAGTCGCTTAACCAACTGAGCCACCCAGGCGCCCTCGTTTAGTACTTTTTAAATGCATAATATTGATTTTGTTTTTGTAAACTAAAGAGCAATCTCTGTCTTCCACGAATTCTAAAAATTTTTTTTTTCCAGTTGGTCATAATGGCCGGTGAAGAAATTAATGAAGACTATCCAGTAGAAATTCATGAGTATTTATCAACATTTGAGAATTCCATTGGTGCTGTGGATGAGATGCTGAAGACCATGATGTCTGTTTCTAGAAATGAGTTGTTGCAGAAGGTATTTTAAAAATGTAATTTCTAAAAATGTAATTCATAAAACAGAGTGCTATGTTATGAAAATATAGAAGATACAGATTAATGACATATGCTCCTTTTCCCCTTAATTTCAGTTTTATAAGTGTTTGGGTATTTTTGGGGGGAAAAAACAAAACAGAACTCCAACCTTAGGAAATACTTCCTAACTATATTTTTATTTTCACTTGGTTTTGAGAAAAGAGGAGCTCTCAACAACATTCTTTTTGACAGACTCTATCTTTGACCTTTTAAATATTACAATGATGTTATCAGGGTTTCTGGAAACCCTATAGGACGAAAAGAGTAAATTGACTTTGACATTCTAAAACAAATCTCATTATGTTTCTTCTGTCTTTGGTATTGCCTAAGCATTTTAGCCTGCCTCTTATACATAAATGCATCATGTACAGTGTTTATATTGATAAATTACTTTTGACATACAAAACCCAGATCATAACTCCTGAAATTAAAATAATTGAAAAGAATTTTGCTTGGATTATACATTCCTTGTCTAAGTAAAGTTGATACCCTGAAGTGAAAATTTGTGGGCAAAATCACTGGTTAACAAAACTTTTTCTTTTTGCAAATTATTTCAGGATCATTTGGTTATTGGATTATAGGAAGGGAAAGAAACATCTCTTTGATACATTGTATTTGGTGAAAGTCTAAAATAATGTGATGGTGCTCAGAATTTGTATATATTTCTTTTTTCTTTTTCTCTCTCTCTTTTTTTTTTATAGTTGGACCCCCTCGAGCAAGCCAAAGTGGATTTAGTTTCTGCTTACACATTAAATTCAATGTTTTGGGGTATGTATATTAATTTGGAGTTAATTAGCAAATTATTTATTGTGTCAAAGGTGATTTATTTTTTAAATGCTAGCACTTTATATACAGTTATACTTTATGGCAATTTTAATAGTCAGATATTTATTTCTTTTAAGTCAGAATACCAGATATCCATGAGGCACATAAAAATTTAATAATACATAGAGGTTGAATAATTTAAGATTTAATTAATCTTTTTTTTTTTTTAAGATTTTATTTATTTGCGAGAGAGAGAATGAGAGACAGAGAGCATGAGAGGGAGGAGGGTCAGAGGGGGAAGCAGACTCCCTGCTGAGCAGGGAGCCTGATTCGGGACTCGATCCCGGGACTCCGGGATCATGACCTGAGCCGAAGGCAGTTGCTTAACCAACTGAGCCACCCAGGCGCCCCTTAATTAATCATTTTTTGTGACATTTCTTTTTTGTGAGTAACTAGAGTTTCTTTAATTAATGCTCTTAATTAATATATATGCCATTTTATTCCATGAAATCTTTGTCTTGTAGTTTATTTGGCAACTCAGGGAGTTAATCCTAAGGAACATCCAGTAAAGCAGGAATTGGTAAGATTGCAGTGGATTTTTTATTTGACTCTTTGTTTGTTGTGGTATTCCTGAAGTCAAAGTCACAGTACCTTTATCATACTAATTATGGAGAACAAAATTACTTAAGAGTCCAGCTTATGAAAGTGAGCCAGATTTCCTTATGTCTTTTCCTTACCTTTGTCAAAGAAATGGTGTTCCATATATTATATAAATCTCTGGATGGGAAAATGTTACAATTCAAGTAATTATTTATAACTTCCATATTATTTTTTCTATAAATTCTTGAAATCCTGTTCATCTCTACAGCTGCCTTTTTTTTTTTTAAAACTCTTACACAATTCTTAAAAGTATATTCTAGTTGATTTACTAGCAAAGACGGGAAAGTTTCTCCCCCACTTTTCAATTCTTCCATTAATTCATTTTCTCAGCAGTAAAGAATCCAGTTCAGCAACAAAGCTAAAAGCTTTTTTGGCACCAGTTGTATGTGTACTGTCCAGTAATTCTGCATTAGTGACATATTTACAACCTGTAATAAATCTTCTAGGTTTGTCTTTGTATTCCATTTAGATGTATAAGTACAGTATATAAGGTCGGGTATGTTGGAGTTTTTGCTGACTTCAAAAATTAAATCATTCAATATGAAAGAAAAAATTAGAAATCTAACTTACAGTTACCTTCTTGACTTGGCTTTATGAATAAGAATGTTAATAAATTTATTCTTTGTGTTTATAAGTTATAAGGTAAATATGTGAAATACACTTGACACTGTATTATTATTCTCAAGTCTTATGGTGGTTGATACGTATGTTATTTTCAACTTAGTAGAATACTTGGTCATTTATTTATAAAAAAACGAGTAAACCAGGTATCTTGTCTTCATTTTATAAATATATGGACTAAGGCATTGTCTTCTTTTAAAGTTCTTGGGGGAAAAACAAATTTATTTTTAAATACAGAAATTGTGAAAAATACTTAAAGCAAAAATGTAAAACAATATGAAGCACAGATCTTGATTTGACCGGTGATACTGACTTTAAAATCTTAAGAAGTGTGCCCTGTATCATCTGTTTTCAACTTTCTAATATGGACTTTACATTTATAAGGTTTCTCATTTTTCCTTTAATACAAACTTATTTGTAGTGTCTTAATACTTGGTTCTGTCATTGGAAATGGATAAAATCATCATGTGTCTTTTTTCTCTGTCAGAACCCACTTTATGGAGGAGTACATTCATATTCTGGACGATGGTTGGCACATAAAAAGCGTACATAAACCCATTCTCCTTTTCTGACCTTGTGACAGACATCACTAATTGATCACAGAGTTAGTGTGTGAGAGGAAACCTATTTGTCATATATATCATGAATGGGGAAAGGCATTGAAAATAGTCAATTTATTTACAATTATTACAAATAATTGCATGCCTACTGGAAGCCAGGCATTATATCCAAGTGAGATGATTCCTCTGTGAATAAAGCTGATAAATACCACTACCCTTGTGGCAGATGCCAGACTATCTAGTGGAGGGAGACCAGCAATTAACATAAACAAATGATAAATACATATAGATATATAGTATGTTAGAAAGTTATATGTTATGGGAAAAAAGAATAGCATAGGTTGAGGGGGATTAGAGTGCTTGAGTAGGATTGCCATTTTAAATGGTAAAGGCAGGGCCTATTAACAAGGTTAACATTTGAGCCAGCTGGAAGGGAGAGAGGGAGTGGCTATGTGGATATTTGAGGAAGATCATTCCAGGCAAGGCTGGGTGAGTGTGTGTTGGGAGGACTTGGGCTTTTACTCCAAGGGAAGTAGAGAGCCATGAGAGGATTTTGAGCAGAGTTGTCAGCCTTTCACAATTAAAAAGTTCTAGGGGTCTGCATTTTTCTGAGTATATTTCTATAACTATTTTGATTATTTTAATGAAACTTGCTTTTTATCAGTGATCAATCATTTACTATGCTATTTTACGGCTCTCATCCCCTTTATTTCTCCAGTGAAGGTATAAAATAGCCCTTTATTCTGATTAATGGTCTCAGAGGATTCGAAGTGGTATGGCAACCTTATTATGTTCCTTACCTTGTAAAGTCTGATTAGAATTGATTAGAAATATAGAAACTATATTTCATTAGAAAGTATCATGTGCTTATCAATCAAAACTATGAAATTGAACAAAAAATCTTGTATTTTCATTTTGCTTATTTTAATTGTGATACTGGAAGGTAAAATAAAAAAATAGTTAAATACTACTTCTTCCATTTCCTGTTTAGAAAAGTTTCAAGAGTTTAATTTGTATGTTGCATACAAGTATATGAGAGCTCTATTTTCGATTATAGACTTCAGATACATGAGAGTTCTTATGTGGATTTAGGTTAATGTTAAATTAAAAAATATATAACTACATATGAACAATTCAGTGTTTATCTCTGTAGTGATGTCTTAGTCTAGTTCTTCCCCTATTGAAACACTCCAAATACTTCTGAAATGACTTTTTAATGTCTATGCCCCCCAGACTATGAACTCCAGAAGAGCATGGAACATGTTTATCCTATTCACTTGCACTTACTAGCACCACTCAATAGGCAATAAATACATATCTGTTGAATTTAACTGAGGTATAGTATAATAAAGCTTAGTGGTGGTGAACAACTTAGTAAATCTAAATCTATTGCCTTTTTTTTTTTTATCTTTAAGGAAAGAATCAGAATATACATGAACAGAGTCAAGGAAATAACAGACAAGAAAAAGGCTGGCAAGCTGGACAGAGGTGCAGCTTCAAGATTTGTGAAAAATGCCCTTTGGGAACCAAAACCTAAAAATGCATCCAAAGTTGCCAATAAAGGAAAAAGTAAAAATTAACCCTTTGGTTTTGATGTACACATATTGTAAAAGTACATCACTTTTACTGTTTTCCACAAAATAGATGATTATGTGGCATTGCAAAGTTTAAATGTATTTGTTATTGAATCCATATATAAAATTTACATTTTAAATTTGTAATGCTAAATATTCTTTCCCCTAGAAAGATTAAGTTATCTTTATTGATTTTCCTATAGGACACAATGAGGTTTTTAACATTGTGATGTATTTTATATTTATAGTTTATCATCTCTCTTGACAAGACTCTTATTTCCTTATACAGGTCAATCTTTCAAGTACCATTTTATAAGCAACTATGAAATTTAAGTTAAATGTTCTTTGTAAACATTTGTCTATTTTAAATGAATGACTTTATGAAGTATGCTATCTGAAGGCTAAAGTTATAAATACATCGGTTTTCACTATATAATATTAAGAAAGAATGAAATGACTTAAATGCCCATTTCTTTCCTATGTAGCTACTTCATCATGTTTTCATGATTTTGGGAATTATTGCTTTTTTGATATTTGAAGTATGAAATTAAGACTTTAAGGTTATATTTTAATTCTTGGCAATTTGCCTCTATGTCCCATTTAAGGTAAAATATATTCTCATTAGCTTTAGATGGGAAATGAGGCTGTATATTGATGGCTGAATTTTGGCATAATGGCTATACCCTATCAATAAAGGCTGTAAAGGTTGTATAGATGACTGTTTATTTTTCTCTTTTGTGTAAATTTGCCCTTGAAATTAGGAAGATAGGTTTTAGAGATTATTAGGAATAGAGAAACTCGAATTTTTGTTGCTTATGCATCATGCCTATAGATCTGCTGGCCTCATTTTTTCACATTTTTTGATTACATGGTTTTGAGGTGGCATCAGGTACATACAAGTATTTTGGAACAACTTTCTTTGTTTATGTAATGCCACAGTTAAGGAGAGGGCAAGTCCAAAGGAGATTATATTGTTTTAAATTCTGATTTATTTTTCAGAATATTTGTTACAGAGAATTCTACATATTAAAAATTTTTTTAAATGTCTAAGTCCTTGAATTTTAATTATATGCTCTTAATGCTTTCAGTCTTTGAATCCACATATCCACATCATTATGTATAGGAATGCCAAGTACAGTAAAGTACTTTAATTTTTGAAAAAGAAGTTGTTAAAATTTTCTATGTGATTAATTCTCCATAAGTAACCTTGAATAAATGGATTTCTTGATTTATGGTAGAAGATATTGGAAATGGTCTTAAAATGTAATGGATTTTGTAAAGCATGTTGAACTCTTTCTATGACACATGAAGAGGAAGTCACTGATAGATGCAGAGTCTTCTGGCTCAGATGTCAGACAATTTTTGAAGTGGAAGAACATTTATATTTACTTCATTACTTTTTTTACCCTCATCCTCTCAAATTTCTAGCTTTTTTAAAAAGTAACTTCTTCATGAGAGAAATAAATGTTATTATGAACAAGTGTAGTGTACATGTGTTATTTATTACAAAGAAACTTACAACTTGCATTTCTGTATATTTTCTAATTTCATAAAGAAAAAAATGAAAAATGTCATACAGTTGCAGAAAATCATTAGCCAAGTTATGGGTTTGTGAAAGTCCAACTCTAAATTCTGTTAAATTGGAGTTTCTTAGTGAATAATTCTTTCAGTGTTTTATTAATAGAAATAAAAAACAGTTGAGTGTATTCCCTTTTATAATGTAGAATTTGAAATACATATTACCTGGCACATAATAAGGAACTGAATGGTAAAAGTGCAGTGGGTGCTCATTTTGTTGTTGTTTATTCATTCCACAAATATTTAATGACATTTACATTGCCAAATACTACTCAGGTTCCAAGGAAGACAACTCTAGCCTTTATTCTATTTTTATAAAGTGTTATGAAAAAAGTGGTCTTTTTGTTCACTTCAGTTTTTCAGAGTTACTAGAAAATTTATGACAAATTGTGCTCATTAACCTTAGTCAGAACCATAAAGGGTGATGGGTTGATCTATTTGACTGTGGTATAGTTATTGTTAACATAGTTTTTTCCAAATGACAGTCTGCTCTAAATTTAGATGTTAATCACATCTTTTATTAATCTCTTTGGGAATTAACAAGTTGGAGAGGTTATAGCTATAGATATTTTTAAGATTAGAATTATGGACTATTAATCTAATACTAAATAATGAGATTTTGTCTTTTAATATTATTTTAAGTACAATTTTCTTGTTCAAAATTGCAGGATGGGAATTCATTTTAGTAAAGTAGAATATGTTAAGAGGAAAATTGAAGGTTGAATTATGGTTTACATTCCTGGAATTAGGAGGTTATGTCAAGTTGATTGGTTTTTAAGATACCCTACAGATTAAAAAATTGTTCTACTTAGCTATTAGAAGTGGATTGGTATTATTTCTAAATAAGGCTTTTAAAATTGACTAGAAATGTAGGAAATGCTTCAAAAATGGACAATGTATTGAATATAGATACTAATTTCTTAAGTAGGTGATTGGAGAAAAAGATGCTCTAGGAATCATTCGGCTTATGATATAGTTAAACTATAATTTTATGCAGTAAATTATTAGAAACTCTGGCTTTACAAAGTGACATTAACTGAGAAAGATTTGAATAGTGATTCTGACCGTCATGTAATAGCTAAGTTTGGTATATAAAGGGAAGAAAAAGAAGCCCTTGGCATCTCATTTTCTTCCCTCATAGCATAGTTCATAAACTTGCCCTTGCCCAAATATATTCAATGGCTCCTTTACCAAATAACCTTGGTAGCAACCTATTTTATATAAATGTGATCTGAATGTACTTTACTAATAAAAACATTTCCTTTTCTCTGTATCCTGGTCTAAAACTCTTCGGTTTTGGAAATATAAACTACATTTTGTTTATTTTGTATATTAGCATTTTATAGTTGTCATTAACAATTATGTTAGGGGGAAAAGTATACAGGACTTCATAGTAGAATTCTGTAGATTTGTTCTACTTTGTTAATTTGCTATTATATTGCTTGTGAGCAGGATCTCAAGAAAATGCTTTGAATGTTTTTGGCTAGCAGATAGGTTTTCCAATCAGAGTGAGCTGTCATAGAGTACTCTTTGGAGCGTCCACCTTCTGACTTGATGTGCCTTTTAAAAGTGTTTATTTTATGGCATAATTTTTAATATAGCCAGGAAGGATTAGTAAAGTTATCTAGAAAAGGGGATAGCTATAGTGATCTCTATTGGCAATTGAGGTTTAATTTTAATTCTGCCCCCCCCCCAAAAGCCAAAACCCAAAACCAATCTAGCTCTGTATTATTCTTCTGTTCATAAAAGGTTGAGAAAAAAATGCTAGCTCCCTCCCCTCCCCCCCCATAAACCTTGAAGTTAAGCAAATGTATTGTAGCAGAATAACTGCATGCAAGATGTCAATTTTGTAAAGTGATTTATTTATTCTGTAAAGTGTACAGAATTTGATGGTGGGGAAAAACAAGCTTGTATAAATGAAACATTTAAGAGACTTTTTTTTTTATTTGGTTTCAGTTTAGTGTTGCCTTTTAGGTGCACCATTTCAGTTTGGCAGCTACAATAAATGACTGAAGGAAATTGAAGATGATAATTCAACATTTCAAGATGCTTCTGCTGAAATGAATGTAGACCTATCCAGGTTTATTTAAAGTTTATAGTAATATGGTTTTTTAAAGCCAAGTACCCAGGAAATGATATGATTTGAATGAGATGATTAGGAGAAATAGCAAAGAATACTTTCAATCCCTTGTTATGTGGGTATTGAGAGTCTATGTTGAAAATGTTAGTGTAAAAAGAATAGAGGCTTGTTATGTACAATTTACTGTAGTGTGTACAATTCATCTTGGATCTTGTCCAAAGAGGTTTAGTTATTAAATAGCAGAAGAATTATTGTAACAAGGAATCACCTGATTTAGTGCTACAGGAATGGATTACCCATAAAGGGTACTGTAATGTATCTGGTTGATACTGTTTCATTTAGTGACCTTTGCTCTCTCTCTCTAATAACGCATTCCATGACTTATTTAAATCGAAATCATTTACTACCCTATTTCTGATACTTTCTTTTCTACTATCATTCCCTTAAGAAAGAAATCATTAAAAATATGTATAATAGTTGCTGGGTTTTATGGGTTTTGACATTTTTGATTTTTAACTTGTGATTTTGACTATTTATGAGTGACCTTAGAAGTCCATGGGGTATATGGTAGTTTGCTATTTTGCCAAGGCATAATCCTAATTCCCGCTAAATGCCATGCAGAATGGCATTACTCAGCTAATGATGTGGCCTAGCAAGCCTCTCAGCAGCCAGTTTCTTCCCTCACAGTCTCTTGCATTTATTCACTCATTCATTCCACAAATATTTATTGAGTCTCTCCTGTGTGCCAGGTTCTATTATAGGCATGGGAAATTCAGCTGTTATCCAGACAATATGTAGTGGTTGGAAGATGTCAAACTTTATCATGTGAAAATGGCTGCTATGGGTTGAATTGTTCTCCCCCAAAATGCATATGTTGAAGTCCTAACTCTCAATACCTTGTAATGTAACTCAGAAATAGGGTCAATGTGGATGTAGGTAGTGAGGATGAAGTCATTAGGGTGGGCCCTAATCCAATATGATGGGTGTCCTTATAATAAGGGGAAATTTGAACATAGACCTGCACAGGGAGAACATCAGATGATGAAGGCTGAGATCAGGGTGATGATTTTATAAGCCTAGGAACGCCAAAGATTGCCTGCAAACCACCAGAAGGTAAGTGAGAGGCGCAGAACAGATTCTCACGGCCCTCGGAAGGAACAAACCTTGCCAACACTGTGATGTTGTATTTGTAGCCTCCAGAGCTGAGAGAGCATACATTTCTGTTGTATAAGCCACCCAGTTTGTGGTACTTTGTTATGGCAGCCCTAGCAAATTAATATAATGGCTATTCTATGAGAGGAATTAAAAAGATTAATAATTTGCATGTGAAAGTATGTGTAAGAAACTTTATGACACAAGGTTGAAAGTGTAATTCTGAAGAAAACCAGGAACCTGTATACATTTATTCAGGAATATTTTTGAATTTGAGCAAAGATCTCAGGACTTAGACTTTGAAATGTCAAGGGTCTGTTATACTCACTCTGAAGCCAAAATGTTCAGACTTTTCTAGCAGACATTGTCAGTTATGATTGAGTGTGCCATCTTTTAAACTTGGTTTGAAGAACCTCATTTCCCTGAAGGAAAGAAAACCCTGTCAGGTTTCCATGGAGAGAATGTTTTCACCAAGCCTATTATGTGCTGTGTGGTCTTTTCCTAATATAATGCCGCAGTCAGGTTCAAGTAATGAATATAAATACTTAACACATCTTACCCAAGCTGTGCTTATCCAAGAGCACAAATCACGTAAGAAATCTCATATTGGATTCAGCTTGATAGTTTTTTTTTTAAGTCATTTTTTCCCCCCCAAATTCTAAACTGTATAATGTGCTATTCAGTTTTCTTTCTTTAAAGTTAGGTATTAGAGAACTCAGAAGTGGGTTTTACTCTTACTGGTTTGGGCCCAGTTTAAGATTTTTTTTTAATATTTTAAATGCTGCGTATTGATGTTCAGTTTTTAGAATCAGTCAGTAGATTTAAACATGGAAGACAAGAATGTAAACAAAATCCACCGTGACTATGTAAAAGTAAAAGCATCTAGAATAGAAGTGAGTTTGAAATGGGGGAAAGAGGACATCATCATGGGGAGAAATCCAGATGCTGCACAACGCTGATGGATGAATATGGTTTTAACGTTTATTTCAGTAGGAAAGGTAATAGCTCTATTATTCTTTTTTAATTCTTTCATGAAAAACTGGAAGGAATTGGGGGGACTAGTATAAATTAAATCCTTATTTTTAGGATGGGAGGTCAGATGAGGTCAGTGAAAATTTGCAGTGTAGATACACATTATGAAGGTAACCACCAGAATTAAAGACATGATTTGAAAGTGGTAATTCATCACTTGGAATGGTGATAAAGTGGGAGCACAGCTTTTTTTTTTAACATGATTTGCTTGGTAAAAAGACGTGAGGAAGTTGTACTAATGAGCAAAAGATTTGTTCAAAGAAGCAGCATGACAATTGGATAACCCGGTGAATGCTAGTTGTTTAGTTTTTGAAATGTTAGGCAATAAATAAATATATCAGTGAAATAATATAAGAATGCTTAAGTGTGCATACGTATATTTCATTGTCTTAAAAAACCCCTCAAACACCCGTATATAAAAATGCCTTTAGGCATTTAATAATTTTCCTAAATTTGAACGCAGTTTAATTTTCATTTTAGACAAGTTAAATTCCAGTTATAGCTAGAAAATAAGAATTTTTATTTTGAAGTGGCCCTCTAGTGTGCCTTCCATGTTCTTTCGAAACTTCTAAATGTTATTCAAGATAGTTAGGCACCACAATGATAGGGTTATATGTAAGTGATAGGGTGATCTTTGCTTGAATGTTTTAATGATGCTGAATTGGAAGAGGGGTTTTCTTGTACCTAGTTTTCATTAAAAAATGAAAGGTCAGGAGAAATGCCCTTATAATTTTTTTCAAGACCTTTTTTCACACTGTAGTCTAACTAGATAGATGGAAATTGATTGTTCAGTAACCGAAGTTATACATGTCAGAAAGTGTAGCAAAATGTAAAATCTTAGGATTTGTCCTAACAACAATTAAAATTAGGGTTTAAGGAATTGGAATTGCTAGATTTTATCTACCACTTCTAAAATTTGTAGAAAACACTAATAAAGACTAACCTATTAGTGGTTTTCTTAATTATTGATGCTATTTAAAACCTTATTAGCACAAGTTGATATTCAAAGTTAGTACATTCTATTGCCTAAATACATAACATTGGAAAGAACCTGTAATTAAATTTCATTCTCTCACTTATGTAGGCATTTAAGGTAACTTAAAATAATTTAAATATATAACATTGAAAAGAAATGTTAAAAGCAGCTTTTGGAAATAGGGTTAATGTATATTCTAATCCTCTTAAGGGAAGTACTATGTATAGCTTAATACATATCTTGTTAAGCTTAATTCTTATGTACTGCCTTGAAGTTTATAGAAACATTGAAATAATCATCTTAAGCTATAATTGTATATGATCCATTCATTGCCTGTACTCCTCTTCCCCCTTATATGTGATCTTAAAGAAATTACTTAATAAACTTTATTTTCTACAGCAGTTTTAGGTTCACAGTGGAAGAAAGTACAGAGAGTTCCCACATCCCACATACCCCCTGTCCCCCAACATGCATAACCTCCAACACTAATGACATCCCCCACTAGAATGGTACGTTTGTTATAACTGATGAACCTACATAGATCAGTATAACCCAGAGTCCATAGTTTACATTAGGGTTCATGCTGGGTGTTGTACATTCTATGGGTTTGGACAAATGGGTAATGATGTGTATCTATCATAGCATCATACAGCATAGTTTCACTTCACTAAAAATCCTCTCTGCTCCACCTATTCATTCCTCCCTCCCCAGAACCCCTGGCGACAACTGATCTTTTTCCTGTCTTCATAGTTTTGTGTTTCCAGAATGCCATACAGCTGGAATCATGAGTATGTAGCCTTTTCAGATTGTCTTCTTTCACTTAGTCATATGCGTTGTTTCCTCCATGTCTTCGTGGCTTGATAGCTCATTTGTTTTTAGTGCCAATAATATTCCATTGTCTGGATGTTTATCCATTCACCTCCTGAAGGATATCATGGATGCTTCCAAGTTTAGCAATTATAAACATCCATGTGCAGATTTTCGTGTGGGTATGTTTTCAACTCCTTTGGTTTAGTAAAGACTAATATGTGCGATTGCCGGGTCATATGGTAAGAGTATGCTTAGTTTTGTGAGAAACTGCCAACTGTTTTCCAAAGTAGCTGTACCATTTTGTATTCCCACCAGTAATGAATAAGAATTCCTGTTGTTCCGGGACTCCTGGGTGGCTCAGTTGGTTAAGCGTCTGTCTTCAGCTCAGGTCATGATCCCAGGGTCCTGGGATCGAATCCTACGTCCTGGACTCCTTGCTCAGTGGGGAGCCTGCTTTTTCTTCTGCCTGCTGCTCCCCCTCCTTGTGCACACGCTCTGTCTCTCTCTGATAGGTAGATAGATAGATAAATAAATAAATAAAATCTTAAAAAAAATAAAGAATTCCTGTTGTTCCACGTTCCACATCCTTGCTAGCAATTGGGGGTGTTGTAATTTATTTTTAAAGCTTTTATTTGCAGATTCTGCCATACATTTTTGTAGTGGTTCAAAGAAAAAAATTTAAGTGATCAAAGGAGATGTAGAAAATCTTAAATTTCTTTCTTTTTTCTTTTTTTTAAAGATTTTATTTATTTATTTAACTGACAGAGAGACAGCTAGAAAAAGAACACAAGTGGGGAAGTGGGAGAGGGAGAAGCAGGCTTCCCGCCAAGCAGGGAACCCGATGCGGGGCTCATGACCTGAGCTGAAGGTGGCTGCTTAACCGACTGAGTCACCCAGCTGCCCTGAAAATCTTAAATTTCTTAATGATAAAATTGGAATTGGGGCGCCTGGGTGGCTCAGTTGGTTGGGCGACTGCCTTCGGCTCAGGTCACGATCCTGGAGTCCCGGGATCGAGTCCCGCATCGGGCTCCCTGCTCGGCGGGGAGTCTGCTTCTCCCTCTGACCCTCCTGCCTCTCATGCTCTCTGTCTCTCATTCTCTCTCTCTCAAATAAATAAATAAAATCTTTAAAAAAAAAATGATAAAATTGGAATAGAGCTAGGATCTGCATCCCGAAAAACTAGCAAGTAGAATATTTCATTCAGGATGAGATCTGAGCTTTAATTTAAAATGCATCTTAAAATTCCTTAAATTTCCTGACTCATTGGAGAACATTTTCACTATATTCAATTTTTTACAAGACAAAGTATTGGAATCCTCTTTAAATATATATATTTTAAATCAGAGGTAAGTTACAAATGCTTGTTAATATGTGAGTTGGGAAGTACAATTGAATTTATTAGGTCTTTGTTTTTAATGCTATCTTTACCAGTTGTTTTAAATTTTATTGCTTTTATCAAGATAAAATGAATACTAGATTGTCATTTTCACGGCTGGAACTCAGGCTGTGTTTACTATCTTTTGTACTAGTATCTGTAATTAAAGCATAGATTATTCAATTTAAGGAAATGACTACAAATGAAAAAAGGGTTTTCTAATGATTCCTTTCTGATTAGTAATTTTTCTGTGTGTGCATGCATATTGTCATGCACGGTCCACGTGTGAAAGTCCGTGCATTTAGGCAATTAACACCCAAGCCCTTGCCACGGATGATCCAGCCTCGTGTTACCGCATTTGGGATCCATACAAGCAACTGGGGTGGGTCTCACTTTTTTGTTCACAAGGTTACTGAGGCTCCGAGAGGTTAGGTCTCGTCCCAGGTTACGCAGTTGCAGTAGTCCTCGCTTATCTGCAGTTTCGCTTTCGCAGATTCAGCTTCGGCGGGCAAGGCGGCGGGGAAGCCGCGGAACCTCCCGGCCAATCGTCAGAAGGTCAGTAGTAGCCTCACGCTGCGCGCTGCGTCTGAAGGCGTCGCCCTTCACGTCACTTCATCTCACGTAGGCGTTTTATTCTCTGGCGTTCGGAGGGGGGTAAGTACAATATATATATATGTTTTTTAAAGATTTATTTATTTATTTATTTGAGAGCGAGAGAATGAGAGAGAGCACATGAGAGGGGGGAGGGTCAGAGGGAGAAGCAGGCTCCCTGCTGAGCAGGGAGCCCGTTGCGGGACTCGATCCCGGGACTCTGGCGTCATGACCTGAGCTGGAGGCAGACGCTTAACCGACTGAGCCACCCAGGTGTCTAAACAGCAACTTTGTTTTTAAAGAAGCAAAACAATATTTTCCTTTTCATATTAAATCATAAAAAGGCAATCAATCAATGCAATCATAAAAACATCAATTGCTATTGAATTTAAAAAGTAGCTGGAAGTGGGCGCCTGGGTGGCTCAGTTGATTTTTTTTTAAGAGTATTTTCTGTTTTATTTTATTTTTTAAAGATTTTATTCATTTATTTGAGACAGAGAGAATGAGAGACAGAGAGCATGAGAGGGAGGAGGGTCAGAGGGAGAAGCAGACTCCCCGCCGAGCAGGGAGCCCGATGCGGGACTCGATCCAGGGACTCCGGGATCATGACCCGAGCCGAAGGCAGTCGCTTAACCAACTGAGCCACCCAGGCGCCCCAGGGCGCTCCTTTTCATTTTGCACTGGGTTCTGCAAATGATGTGGTTGGTCCTAATTGATACTCAATGTTTTTAAAAACAGAAAACGAACAATAAATTTGAAAAAAAATCTGTGGCTTATAATTAAATACATCCACATGGAAATTATAATGAAGATCCATTTTTTTTTAAGATTTTATTTATTTATTTGAGAGAGAGAATGAGATAGAGAGAGAGAGCATGAGAGGGGGGAGGGTCAGAGGGAGAAGCAGGCTCCTCGCTGAGCGGGGAGCCCGATGCGGGACTCGATCCCGGGACTCCAGGATCATGACCTGAGCCGAAGGCAGTCGCTTAACCGACTGAGCCACCCGGGCGCCCCAGTACAATATGTTTTGTGAGAGAGAGACCACATTCGTGCAACTTTTATTACAGTGCATTGTTAATAAGTGTTCTGTTTTATTACTAGTGTTGTTAATCTCTTACCCTAATTTGTACACAGAACTTTACAGAGTTTATGCGTAGCCGGCCTTACTGTCCGAGGATTGGGCATCCATTGGCGGTCTGGCATGTATCCCCCTAGTGATAAGGGGCCACTCTTGTAGTAGTGAGGCTAGGAAGTGAGTCCACTGGGGGACTGCACCTTCACCGCTGTGTTCGCCCTCAGCTTTGTTACCGGTTGAGGAACCTCATGCAGAGGAGGCTTGGGGGAGACAACCTGGCTCAGTCATGGATGCTGTTTGCTGATTGGCCAGATTTGCTCTGAATTTTCTTTTTTCTTTCTTTCTTTCTTTTTTTTTTTTTTTTAAAGATTTTATTTATTTATTTGACAGAGAGAGACACAGCAAGAGAGGGGAACACAAGCAGGGGGAGTGGGAGAGGGAGAAGCAGGCTTCCCGCGGAGCAGGGAGCCCAGTGCGGGGCTCGATCCCAGGACCCTGGGATCATGACCTGAGCTGAAGGCAGACGCTTAACGACTGAGCCACCCAGGCGCCCCCTGCTCTGAATTTTCGTTAAATTTGGAAACCAACTTTTAAGCATGATTTGGAGCTAACACATTTTTGACGTGTGCTGTGTGGATAGTGGCAGTGATGGGAAAATCATTCTGAATTTTTTTTTTTTTTAATGTAAGCGCTATACTTGAGATTTGGAGATCAAGTTGTGTGTCCTTCTGACTGAGCCAGCCAGGTGCCCCAATCACCTTGAATTTTCAACCAGGTCTGATCATTTGTCCTATAGCTCAGACCATTGTAAAACTATTCAAGAAGCCCACTACTGATATACCTGGCATAGTCCTCAAAAATAATTCTTTCCTTAAATTAATTTATTGATCCCCCCTCCTGGCCATGTAAAACATGCTCTTTATAGATATTAAAGAGAAATCTCCCCCCTCCCTGACCAAGAAATAATTGACTAACATTTAAAGTATTTTCTTTCAGCCTATTATCAATTTACATTCAGCTGCAAATAGTTTTTGCATCGTTTTTTATTTTATCACTTGATTATAAGAATTTTAATGAAACAGTTTAGTGTAATTGGTTTAAAAAAATAAAGATGCAGTTGGTTGAGATAAACAGGTGTTTATTGAGTGCCTACTATAGGCTGATGCCCAACCAGCCCGACGCTAAATACCCCCACTCTTGCTTGAATTTACAAACTAGGTGAGGTTTCCCCTCAGTATTTATGCAGCATAATGGAACGCTTTATTATGTAACTACCCTCTTCAAAATTTGTCGCTTTTAATAATTTGGACTTTCATGTTTTGGATTTTCTTAAAGATGTGCTTTATGTCTCCTCCGCATTAGTTGTCATCATTGCATTTACTGATCAGAGCCACTGGGTGGCAGCAAAAGAACACAAAAGATTTTCTATTGTGCTTTTTGTGTACACAAAAATGAAGTGAAAGCTATTTGAATTTCATGGGTGATGGGCAGAAAAATATAGTGATTAAAGCTTGACATGTAACTAAAACAGACTAGACACCAACACATCTCATCACTAAATGTATGTTACTATGGGTAAAAAATTAAATATGTGCTTTATTGTTACCAAAGCCGTATTGTAAAATTCTCCTTTCAGTTTCTTTTAGTCATGAACATATCTTTCAAGATTCCTATGCAATTACTTTTCTGTTCATAAAGGTGAAGAGAAAAACCCAAGCCAGATACTAAGAAAAACTTGTTTAGTAAGAAACTTGTGAACAGAGATTTCAAATGTCAAACAACAATGGAAGGAAGTCATTTTCTTGACAGTCTGTTTTAAAGAACATTCTTGGAAAAAAACTAACTGAATTTGGAGTTCTTGTTCATAGACAAGAGTTTGTTTTACCTTTTCTTTTTAAAAATCGCTTAGCAAGCAGATTTTTCAGTAATGGGAGTCTCTTTGAAGATTTTGTCCATTCCTATAAAGTTACAAATGTCTTAGTTCCAAGCTGAGTATACCTTACATATGATAGACAGCTCCAGCTAAAAATGTGAAATGGTCATGAGGCAGTGACAAGGTAACAAACACTTGTTTTATTTTTATTTTTTATACAAATATTTGAAATCTGTTTATTTGAAATCTGTTTAGGTGAAAATACAGTTTCTCCTTTCTCCCAAACGTTTTAAAACATAATGCTTTAAAAGATTCTTGTCTTTTAAATTTTAGACAAAAATATATTTAGTTTATCTGAAAGCTTCTGAATGAGTTATACAAAATATTAAGTGCAGAATGAAAAGTTTGCTTTTGTCCAGAGAGCTGAGTATTGAGCAAGACAGGGGATCCTTCCAGGGCTGATTCCCAGAGGGTTATGGAAGAACAGTGTTTATGTTTCTTCCCTTTGAGCTTCGGACCTTCCAGTTGTGCTTGGAGCCTGAACCCTTCTTGATTTTATTTCTTGTTGGCAACATTACCATTGCCTTTTGATGTATTTATGATATAGATCAGTGAACCTTATGTTATTTGACCCTTAGTGGAAATGAAGTTTAGGAAAAATAGGAAATTTTGTTCCCTGTAATGAGTATATGGCCACCAGAGTCTCAATGTTCACTTTTCTTTAACACTTCTCAAATGAGATGTTCCAGCAGTATTTATAGGTGCTGAAACCCAAATCTGAAACTATAGGTGATAACTCTCCTGGGCTTGGACTCTGGCCATCAGTGTCTGCTGTGAACCCAGAACAAGGACAGAGAAATAATTATTTTCACTATTTCCTCCCCTTGGAGCAGTTTTTTTTGGGGGTGGGGGGGGGAGTAGGAGTGGGGGAGGGAAAACATTTGTATTGTCCCAATGCAAGATAGATCTGTGTGAAATGTATTAGTTTCTTCTTTAGAAACTATGTAGAGTCACTATGATGAGAGAGTCATTTGCTATTTCTAGTAGTTTACAGTATTGGAGGGCAGGAGGGTTGTAAATCCTCTTGGGAAATTTCTGGAAAAGAAAGTTCTATACACTTCCTTAGTAATAATCCCCCGTAAGTTTCTTCTTATGGTTATCATTTAGTCACATGATTTTCATTTATTTGTATTGGCTGTCACTATATTAAGGGCAATTATGAATATAATGAAACAGTTTGTTTTGAAAGTAAGATGATAAATGTAAAGGCTAAAGCTAAATATAATTTGTAGTTTTGTTTACAGACTATAGAGACCTATCTTTCAGGTTTCAGGATTTGTTTTATTTCAGACTTATTATTTGTATGGCTATTTTACATTTTGTGGAATTTGGTATGGCAGTATTAAATCAGTGATTCTTTGGCGCCTGGGTGGCTCAGTTGGTTAAGCGACTGCCTTCGGCTCAGGTCATTGATCCTGGAGTCCCAGGATCGAGTCCCGCATCGGGCTCCCTGCTCGGCGGGGAGTCTGCTTCTCCCTCTGACCCTCCCCCCTCTCCTGCTCTCTCTCTCTCATTCTCTCTCTCAAATTAAAAAATAAATAAATAAATAAATAAATAAATAAATAAATCAGTGATTCTTAAAATATACCTTGAGGTAAATATCTCAATAGAATATTTTTTGGTATGAATTATAGAACATCAAAAAGACTATTGTAACACAGCTTCAATTGTTTGATTCTGTCAGTGACAATTGACTTTGAATAAATCACTAAAATTATGCATATAAGTCTCCATGTATAAAGTGGGCACAGCATGCCCATTTTTTTCTCATCAACTATACAAATTTAAATGAAAAGGATTCAGGTTTTTGGAAGAAAATGCTATTTAAAATGTTACACGGGTAGTACTAAAATTATGATGTTTTCCAACAAAACTGGACAGATTTGATAGGAAGTTTCTCTTCTAGTCTGTTCTTTATTTTCTTTGTACCAAGTAAGGTTTCTAAGTGAATAGTTGAAGAGGTCATTTGGGGAAGTTAGTGCTCTCAGACTTTGTGCTTGCAAGGTTCTTTGCTTGAAACCTGACCCTGGAGTCTTATGTACTCTGGAGACATAA